AGAGAGATAATCTCAAGCAGACTTCCTGTTGAACACAGAGCCCAAAGTGGGCTCCAGTCTCATGACCCTGAGATTATGACCTGCGCCAAAATCAAGAGTCAGATGCTTAACCAACTGAGCTACCCAGGCACCCCTAAATTCTGAATTCTTGAAGGCTAAGGATGCCTGTCACAGAGAAATGGGGAAAAAACTGTAAAAGAGAGACACATGGCTATTTTTCCAACTGGACAACAGTGGGATACTACAAAACTATTATTAAAAGTCTACTAATGAGCACTTTTTCTGGAAGTAACTAACCCCCTACCTATGATCTATAAAGGCATTGATATTCCAGGTTTCGTAGACTGCACTCAAACTTGAAAGTGTGTTTCCCTCCTTATATGTGGAAGAAAATAACACTTTGCATACTTAAATATGAAGAGGCTATATAATGTAGTGATTGGGAGCATGGGCTCTTAGAGCTGTGGTTCACAGGTAATTGTGCCTCCCAGAGGACATTTGGCAATGTCTGAAGACATTTTTGATGTCACAACTGGGGGACGAGGGTGTTACTGACATCCGGTCGGTAGAGGCCAGGGATGCTGCTAACCATTCTACAGTACTATGCGCCAGCCCCCCAACAACACAGATTTAGCTGGCCCCAAATACCAACAGTGCTGAGGGGGAGAAACCCTGCTGTAAAGCAACCTGCCTGGGTTTCAGCTCACCTAATATCTGTGTAGCCTCTACCAAGTTTGTCCTTTGTCTTTGGCAATAAAAGCAGGATAATAATGTTACCCACCCCACTGATTTGTTGTGAGAATAAAACAGATAACAAAAAAAGGAGCTAAGAACTATGTCTGAAACAATGCCAGTGCCCAACAAAGGTTTACTTTCGTTATCACTGTATGTACTGAGAAAGACTGAGAAAGAAATATAACAAAGTTTTAACATGGATTTTTATTATCATTACCCTTCTGTATTTCCCAAATTTTCTAGAACTGTATTTATATTAACCTACTATCTAAAAACATATATTTAAAGAATGCAGAGGAAAGAACTTTACTTGTGATATAGCTGAAAGAGCAAAGAATTCAGATCCTGGCTCTATCTGCTACTGGGGACTTTGGGCAGGTTGTTCATTTCTCTGAGCTTGTTTCCTGATCAAAAACTGGGGCTAAGAAACCTATATGACAGAGTCTCTATCAGGATTACCCACAACAGACATCCAGTGCCTAGGAAAGTATGCTGAATGAGAGGCTCCATAAGATGATTGCTTTAAAAGTTTAGCCAAGGTAAAATGATTTCACAGACAGGAAAATATATTCATTATGGTACCCCTCTTTTACTTTTGAAACTGTCCTCTTGGAAAGACCACATCTCAGCTCATGCCATTTTTTGCCTTGGTTCATAAAGCAGAAGTTTTGGGGAATCCCTGGGTGGCTCAGCGGTTTAGCACCTGCCTTTGGTCCATGGTGTGATCCTGGAGATCTGGTATCAAGTTCCACATCAGGCTCCCTGCATGGAGCCTGCTTCTCCCTCTGCCTGTGTCTCTGCCTCTCTCTTTCTCTGTGTCTCTCATGAATAAATAAATAAAATCTTAAAAAAAAAAAAAAGCAGAAATTGTGTCCACACTCTGGTTCTCCTGTCTATTCCTTCCCTTTCCCTACATACACATATGCTAGGAAATGATCCAGTCGTTGGGCTGGCAGGGCCTGACTCGTTCAGCAGTGTTTACCAACAACAGGCAAGTTACTATAACTGAAAGGCAGTGTGGTAGGCAGGCAGCACATGCCCGGCTGTACTGGGCTTCCCGAAGGGCTGTTTCTTTTGCACAACTCACTCAGCAGGCAAGTGAAGGTAAGGAGGATGAGTGAATAGGACTCAAGGACCTACACCTTATCTACAAACCCTATTCCTTCTCTCCTTAATGATCTAATTAGATGTGAGCCAAAGAAATAGACTATGTTTGTGAATATTATCATTTTTTAACATAAACTCTACACCCAACGTGGGGCTTGAACTCATGACCCCGAGGTCAAGAGTCATGCCTTCTATCAGGAGCTCCCATAAAGATGACTATTTTAATCCTAATTAGCCTGCTAACTTGAATTCAAATTCTAAGTAACCTTTCAAGATATCTTGAGACAATCTTTTGCACTCAAGTCCTAACTGCCATGGTCTGGGAAAGGCAGCCTGGTTCCAGTCTACTCTGACACCAACGATCCCAGGGTTTTCTGGGGAGGAGTCCTATAGTCTGGTGAGCTCTCAGTTCAGTATTCTGAGGACTGCGAACCACAGCTGATTAGGAGAGGCCTGCCAGGGGCAGGAACTGACCTTCTCATCACATTCAGTCTCACCCAAGGTGAACTATTTCAGTGTTGGGAGATGTTGCCAGGCAAACACCAGAGGAAAATGAGACCCTGAAGGTGCCTGTATATCTAGATATAAACAAAAATACCATCAGAACTTCATTCTAAAGATAAATAAAAAGTCAGGGGGATGGATCTGTAATCCCCAGAAAAGAATTTATAGATACTTCTTGAACTCTAGTGTGCTTCTGCTCCAGGGTCAGTCTGACTAGCATACACAAATTTCAGACATAATTTTGGCTGTTGCCAAGGTCTCTCCCATTACACATTTACCTCTTCACTGTCCTCCCTGTCCTCCCTATGAGCACATGCAGAACAATTTAGGCATGGGTCCCTAAACTGGCTCCAGCAGAACGCTTTCAGAGCTTTCACAAATGGATATTGTGAACTTATCATAAACCAGGCCTTGTGCTAAGTGCTAGAAACCCAACAATGGGCAGCCTGGGCGGCTCAGTGGTTTAGCACTGCCTTCAGCCCAGGGCGTGATCCTGGAGACCCAGGATCAAGTCCCACGTCAGGCTCCCTGCATGGAGCCTACTTCTTCTCCCTCTGCCTGTGTCTCTGCCTCTCTCTCTCTCTCTCTGTCTCTGTGTGTGTCTCTCATGAATAAATAAATAAAATCTTTAAAAAAAATAAATCTAGAAACACAACAATGGAAGATATGGTCCCTTTGCTCAAGCAGCTCACTTCAGATGACTATAGTAGCATAAAAGTGGTACTTGTCCCAGGGAAACATAGATTTCAACAGGAACCAAGGTTTTAATATGAAGTTCAGTATTGTAGGGGACACAATCACTTTCAAAATATTCTTGAGTGAAACCCTGAAGGGAAATATTAATAAAGAATTTCACAAATTTTAGATTTCTATCCCTTTTCTTCCTCCTTGTATCTCTGACCTAGTAACTCCCCTTAGTTTTCCCACAGCATATAAGAATGAGATCAGTTATTCATCATTTATTGTCAAGAACCAGAAGGGAAACTACACAGACCAAAAAGAAATCTTTATATTTCAGAAATCTCTAGAAGTTAAGAAAAAAAAATTTCCTCCTCTTTTGCCCTTAAAAATCTAAAATAATTTGCAAAGAGAGAAATCTATTCCCTTGAAGTATGGTAACATTATTTTAAAGCAATAAATCTAGTCCATTTGATACCATAGTTTATATTCATCATTTTTAGAAGTTTTTAATCTATTGTATTTTGAAAATCAAGTAAGGATTTTTTTTTAAAGGTAGAATGTTTAGGCTAGTCTTATTACTAGATTCAGAGGATGAAAGAATGTTAAGTTTGATTTAAAAAAATCAACCATGATGTAATTCTAGATTTCTTTTTTGCCTTTGGACATCATTTGGTCACCATAGTAACACAGTATTCTACTACCAGATATCTATACGGCACAAAGGGAAGAGAAGAACAGGCAATTATTTACTGGGTTATTTGCGGGGGGTACGGGGTGATGGTGGTAGTGGTATAGGGAAGGTGATTACTGAGATAACTTAAGATTAAATATAGATTCCACTGGAGATCTGTTGGTTTTTTTTTTGTTTTGTTTTTTTGTTTTTTGTGTTTTTTTTTTTTTTTTGAGATCTGTTTTAGCCAGGCAAGCTGATTTGATCTTCTAGTAACGTCGACTGAACAAAATGTGTAACGAAATCAACTGCTGACATCATTTGAAATAACACAAGCAGAAAAGAAGCATAGGTTAGTAGTTAAAATCATGGACTCTGGGGTCAAGTTTCTTGGTTCAAATCCTGTTTCTACTATTTGCTAGCTGTGTGATGCTGGGAATGTTCCCTAACTTCTCAGGCCTTTAGTTTCTTCATTACCAAAATGTGGGCACTAATGTCTCCCCCACTGGGCTATTATAAGGATTAAATGACTGATTATTTGTGCTTTATAATGATGTCTTCTTGCACACAGCAAGAACTTCGTAAGCATTTGTTAAAGATGAAATAAAATTTAAATTTGCTAACTCCCCTTTTTGTGCTGAGTAGAAATGGTCAAAGGTACCAAGATCTGAGTACAGGGAAGATTATTTTAGCCTGTAACTTTGGAAGATTCCTTTGAGAACTTCCTGGGAGACTTCCTGATTGCTATTCTGAAAGATTTGGAAGTCAATGGCACTCTCCTATCCCAAACCAGAGCTGGAAATAATGATAAGCTCTCCTGGTATCAGGAACATCAGAAGGAAGACAATTGCACAGCACAAAGAAACAGCACGCCTGCCCACTCAGGCTCTCTAAACCATTGCCAATAACCTCTGGGAACATGGGCAAAGAATAAGCAACTGGAAAGGGAAGAAACAAGATTTTATTGCAGTGAACAACAAAACGTAGTTGATTTCAGTAATATTATTTTTTCCTCTTTCCAGGACTTAAAGTAAAAAATCATTTTCATCAATTAGTGCTTTATTTTATTAATTATCACTATACACAATTTTCCATCAAATTTTCTTCAACAGGCACTTACTTTGATGAATCTCATTTTACAGAACTATCCAGGCATCTTTTCTAGACCTGTAACAAATCTAAAGCCCCCCAACCAAATCTAAGCCAGGACAAAATCTCTACAAACTGCCTGGAAAAAAAAAGAAGGTATTATGTCCTATAAGCCAAATTTCAGCCGCGATACCACGGGATCCCTAGCACATACCTTCATCTGGACTTGATTTCAGAGATGGTCTCCTTGGGTCTTCTCGATCAGGAATAGCCCTCGCATAGGAGTTTGGAGAATACCATACATCACCAGGAAAGCTTGAGAGCACGTTCATTTCTGTCCTCTGCCTTCCCCTTGGCTCATAGCCTGCTTCCTGGTAGGAAGACAAGATGACGCTGTGCTGGGTTGACTGTTAAACCATCTTCCCGCCCCCAGCCCCACTCTCTTGGTGCCCCTCCCTTCTCCTTTCCAAGGCTCTGGAATGTGTCACATGGGAAATGGATCACGTGGCTCAAGGGGAGAATGGGGCCATCTTCTACCTCCCTTCCCCCACTTTTCCTTTCAGGAGCAAAGCAGCAGAAATCTGTGACCTGATTGGCTCTGACCAAAAATCTCCATATGAAAAGGAGAAAATTCAACCCAAACCTTCAGCCTTCTCCACTTTCTTTTTTGTTTTATTTTTCACCTGAACATTTTATTCTGGACATTCAGAGTTGCTTGGTAGGGAGGGAAATGATACTTTCTGCCCAGCCTTTTTCTTTCTTTCTTATCAATACCCTAACGTGACAAGGTGTTCCCCTACTTCCCTCTGGAGCCCCCTTAGCACGTCGGAGACAAGAGTGTTCAGCACCAAGGACAGCATTACAACCCCTTCCGTCTTCATTAAAGCCTTTTGTCTATTTCACTCTCAGGTAAATAAAAATATTTTAAAAATATTTCTCTGATGTCTTGTGTCTAAATATAAGTCAGTCCATATATTTAGGGCTCGGACTTCCCCTACTATCAACTTATTGCTTCCCTATAAATATAACTTTTACATTTTATTAAACCCAAAGACCATCCTATGCTTATCCTACTACCCACCCACCCCTTAGATATGCTCCATGTTCTTTTTGGGGGGGGGAGAAATGCTCATAAGATAGTTTACTATATGTCCATATATCTATGCTTATAAACAAAACAAATCAAAACAAAATATAGAAACACACAGGATTTTTTGAGTGTGTATGTCAAGAGGTCCTTAGCCTCATTCCTAGGCCTCAGGCAGGGCTGAATTAGAGAGGGAGGGAGGGAGCCTGGTAGAGGCTGTTTTGTGCAGGGTCTATCCGGCTTTGCTGACGTCCCTGTTGCCATGGTGCTAGGTAACTGCAAAAGGGGATGATTTCTTTCAGAAGCGGTCACCATGGGACCCTGCTTACTAAAGAAAAGGAGAGGGGAAGAGGACTGAATTGCTGAGGAGGACTTTCAATTAGCATTTTCAGAGCCAAATTTACCTAATGGGCCCTTTCCTTACTGAATTGTTGCTGACCCTAAATCTTAAAATGATTCTGGCAATTAGTATGGACACTGTGATGGTCACTCCCTCCATATTCCACTGCTTCTTTCCCTAAAAATCTATTTAGGTGCAACTAAATGAAAATGCCAGCTTCACAGAATGACTGTGGAGTGCCATCCCAAAGTAGGGTGGAAGGACACAGGAATCTACTTCTCCTTACGTTGGGGCTTCTGATTTTTATGAAGTCATTCATCCAAGTCCCAACAGCCTTAATTGGGAGATACTTCAGAACCACACCTGGCTGTTGATGCAAGGAACAGTTTGCGAATACTTTACAATGTTATGGGAGAAAGGACCAATATTTTTTAACGTGAGTTGCTGAATTATTTATTTTTTTAAAGATTTTATTTATCCATGAGAGACACAGAGAGAGAGAGAGCGACAGAGACACAGCAGAGGGAGAACCAGGTTCTATGCAGGGGGCCTGATGTGGGACTCGATCCCAGAACTCCAGGATCACGCCCTAGGCTGAAGGCAGGTGAGCCACCCAGGGATTCCAAATATTTTAAATAAAAATAAATTTGATTAGTTTAAGATCCGTCCTTTGGATAAAATTTGGACTGCCTCAAATGAGGATGTGTAATGTTTGTAATGTTTGTGTAATTAGGCTGGCATAAAATTGATTTTTTAAAGATTTTATTTATTTATTTGAGAGAGACAGAGATTGAGAAAGAGAACACAAGTGGGGTGGGGTGAGGGGCAGAGAGAGAAGCAGATTCTCCACTGAGCAGGGAGGATGATATGGGGGAATGTGAGGTTCCATCCCGCCACTCATGACCTGAGCCCAAGGCAGATGCTTAACCAAATGAGCCACTCAGGCATCCGGAATTGATTGTTTCTAATTCAGAGTCCTTACCATGGCAATTCTAAGTATTTATTTGGGGGGGGGGGGCAGATATACTTTCAATGTGCAGGAATGCAAACTCTGTTATAAAAAAAAAAGGGGGATCCTTGGGTGGCTTGGCAGTTTATCGCCTGCCTTTGGCCCAGGGCTTGATCCTGGGGTCCCAGGATTAAGTCCCACATCGGGCTTCCTGCATGGAGCCTGCTTCTCTCTCTGCCTGTGCCTCTGCCTCTCTCTCTCAGTATCTCTCATGAATAAATAAATAAAATCTTTTTTTTTTTTAAAAAAAAAAAAGAGGTGCACAAGGGAGCTGGAGTATGATTTCAAGAAATCGAAGTTCCTTCCTGTCTCAACATTCACAGCTGAGGACATATTTACTTCTTTTACTTTAGGAGAAGAGTCAGGTTAATTCCAGTTTTTCTATGTAAGATTCAGAGAATTTCAACTCTGCTAATTCTGACACTTGCTCCTTTCAGAAAGTTCATTTATCAGGAAAGCAGGATAGGTGTTTGAAGAAATCCTTAGAGAGCCAGCAGGATGGTGACTTCGATATCATCTCCCCTTTCTTAGCCAGTAATAATAACAAGAACAACAACACAAACAGGTAGTATGTAACATGTCCTAGGTGTTCAGCACATGTCATTTAGTCTTCCTATCAAACCAGAGGTACTAGTATGAACTCTCTTGTTTTATAGATGAGACTGAGGCTTCCAGAGGACAGGAATATGCTCCGAACTACACAGCTACTTAGTGTGGGAACAAGGCTTTGGAATATTTAATCTGACTCCAGAGCGGGCACACTATACTATGCTATTCTGCTTCGTGAATAATGGATTGGACTAAAATAACTTGTTGATGTAATGTGATTCACTATGAAGAGCCTCTGACAGGAGAAATAAAAAAAGTTGCTTCAAATTACTTGAGATAAAAAAAAAAAAGACCAAATTATTCATTCCTTTTAGGATGATTGTATGTGTATATCATAGCTGAATGATAAAATAATCATAATTTTTCAAGGAATCATAATCCAGAATATTATTAAGGATGTTTATAAAACATGTGGTGTAATACAATTCTCCCTAAAAATCTTAAATTTGTAATCAACAAACTTATTCCCGGTCATCTGGAAGAAAATAAAAAGACAGTGTCTTCCACCTGAACTCCTAAAACTCCACAGTACTTGTAATTGGGGTAATATTTTTTTTTAGGGGTAATATTCTGAAAATGATTTATAGGATTTTTCTTCTCCTTTGCCTGGGAATCTATTTGCCTTGGAAACAAGGAGTGTGGCACTGTTTCAAGTTACAATGGAAATGGAAAGAAAGAAGGAATTAATATATTCAGCTTCTGAAATTCAAAACAGGAGTGTGCAGCAAGACAAAAGCCTGGAAATCCAGGCTGTTCTTTTCAAAGTCATTCTTGAAATTCCTTTATTTATGCCTTTACTTGTCATCAACCAAACATAGGAGAATTTGCTTAGAGTGTTTGGTACTCTAGAGAGGTCTTCAGGCTGGGGCAGACAAAAAACTTTTCAAGGGGTCCCAGAGCATGCAGTTAGTTTTATTGGAACAATTTCTGGATCCTCAACTTCCACAAGTACACTTTCTAAAGCTGATCTTCCTGAAAACCTGTGCAGTCAAGATGTCATACTGATTGTTGGTTCCCACCTACTAGTTTTCCTTCCATTTTACCATAGAATGATGAACTCTCTTCCACCTTTACCTCAAATCCTACAGTGGTAACCTACCTGAATTTAAAAAGCTCCTGGGAATGGAAGGAACAACTGGAATTATTGGAGATGCTCTTGAGATACTAGTGGCTAGCCCCAATAATTGAGCAACAAATCCTTTTAAAATCATGAGTTTTCTGATTGCTTTAAACAGAATTGAAAGCAAACCACTATCCAATTACCTACCAAGAGATTCATTAAAATAGTTTTCTTAAAAGAAAGCTCTTTTTACAGAAGAATGCCAGCTAATGAATGCAGAGTATAATAGCCAGGGCACCATTTCTGCAGCCCCCAATGAAATAACCTACTTAGGCAAGGACTAAAATGGATATTCAAACTATCAAATGAAAAGCTGTTGAAAACAGGTTGTTTGTAGATTATTTACAAACTGCAAAAGGAAATGTATCCTTTTTCCAAGGTGAGACTGGAAGGTAGGAGTCACCATCTTAATCAGGTGACCAAATTTAGCATCACTAAAAGTGAGACAACCTCAAATTATGTGCCTAACATGAAGTAATGTCACCTACCCAACATTAATAATCAAGTATTCTTCCTAAAAATGTTTAACCTGAATGTAATTAAACCTCTATTCATAATGTCCAGTTTTTTTAAAAGGGCAGGGGTTAGAAAACAAGTTAGAAGACATTATGAGGAAATAATCAGCCAAACTGAGACTATAGAATATTCTACAAGGGGACTTGTGTGGATTCATCAAAAAGTCAATGTCGTGGGCCATCTGAGTGGCTCAGTCAGTTAAGTGTCTGACTCCTGATTTCGGCTTAGGTGATGATCTCAGGGTCGTGAGATCAAGCTTTGTGTAAGGCTCCATGCTTATATGGTCTCTCCCTCTCCCCTCTATCCCCCACCCCACCACTTGCATACTCTGTCTAAAAATAATAGTAATAATTAATTAATAAGTCAATGTCATGGGATCCCTGGGTGGCGCAGCAGTTTGGCGCCTGCCTTTGGCCCAGGGCACGATCCTGGAGACCCGGGATTGAATCCCACATCGGGCTCCCAGTGCATGGAGCCTGCTTCTCTCTCTGCCTGTGTCTCTGCCTCTCTCTCTCTCTCTCTCTCTCTCTCTCTCTGTGTGACTATCATAAATAAATAAAAATAAATAAATAAATAAATAAAGTCAATGTCATGAAATTAAAATTACAAAGCTATGATATTTGCAGGGCATGCTGTTACAGATTCAAAGAGACTAAAGACCACAACATAGGATTTACTGAGATGCTGACT